TATATATATATATAAAATATTAAACTAAGCAAAGTTAATTGGGAAAACCTGATATAACATCATGAAGCTTAAAAACATCTATTAGATTGGAAATTCTCGAAAATTCTAAAGCGTAATTTAAATAATGATTTCATTTTAATTAATTTTTAAATTCGTCTAAGCAAAATATTAAAATCTAATAATCTTTTGTGATAAACATGAGGGTAATTCCTTAGTGTATATTTTTTGTCATATATGAAGAAACCGTACATCAAGTTATAAAAAGACATGAATTAATAAAAATTAAAATATGTACTCTGTACGTGTTGTTATGTTGTAAAGTTTATAATATTTGAATTCTTAGAAATAATTCGAAATCTCCTTTAAATGCACGAATAAAGTAAATTAAGTTCGAATATTATTTCCTATGAGGGTAACAGATACATTAGCAAACGATTTTCCCAAGATATTTTTATTTCTACGTGCAATTTATTTATGGATCTATTTTTTTCACGCTAAAAGAATTCGTTTCTTTATCAGGAATCAGATATAAAGAAAGGATACTAACCATTTAGCAAATGATTCAATAAACACCATAAAATAAATGAACCGATTTAAACGGAATAAACTCGTAAAACGATGCACAACTTCATTACTTTTAGCTGAAAGTACCGATTTAAATCACCGATGATTCCGATTTTCAGTAAATAAAATTTTTCTTATCAGTATATAGAAAAATTATGTCATTTCTTGTTGCAGAAAATTGTATTAATATTTTTTTAATGAGAAATGCAGGAGAACAATCGATTGTTGATAAATACCACATACTTTTCTTCAAATATTATTTATTTAATTCATTATTACATTTTGAGGTATATTAGATTTGAAATAAATGCATAATGCTCTTTTTTTATTAAAAACTTGATGTCTTTAATGCTTTTAATAACTCTAGTAAGAAATATAAAATTTTTAGTTTTACTGTACGAATAAACTTTTTGAAACTTAACTATTACGAAATAATCTATTAAATTTTCGTCGAGCAGCAGGAAATTTTAATCTCATTACTCAGTAAAAGTCAACATAAAATTGCTCAATTTATATGCAATCTGTTCCATTTCAGTTAAAAGAAATCTATTCAAAACTAAATTTTATATTACGGCATAAAACAGTCAAAGAAGTAAATTTTTACTAATATATTTGAAAACACAAACACTGAAACTTTGCAAAACCATTTTATAAAAAAGTTAGCTCTCAGGCACTCAAGTAACTATTTAATCTAATTAAATTTTTTAAGATTCATGATGGGCGAATCTATTATAGATGATGGAATATATTAATTTGCATTTTTGTTTCAAATGACTTATTAGTAAGTTAAATAAAGTTGGTTTTGGAAAACTTTAAATAAAAGAGAATTATTCGTGAAAGTATATATATAAGTAATATTATTTAGAGAGAAACACGCGCATTTTTTTCTTGATTGTAATACAAAATTTAAATTAAACTGGGAGGCTTCGCCCCCTGCTCGCTGGTGCTCGCCAACCCCCGGAACTGCTATCGCAGTTCATTTCGGATTGCTTCGCAATCCGATGCTCGCTTTACTCGCTCATTGGATACGTTCTTAACGTCTAGCTTTTGTATACTTTTTTGAACACTGAAGTTCCGAAAACTTTTCACTGTAGAAAATTCTAAACCTGTGCATTTCAATATTAATTTGAAATTGCAAACAGTTCACATATTTTTCTTAATCACACTATTCTAAATTTCAGTTGTTGAGAAAAGTAACTGTTGTAAGTTTTGTTTTAAAGTCTTTCCCACCAGAGGGCTAAAGCCATGTGTTGTAAAACAATATGAAATAGTAGTCTGCCACTGAACGCCGGATGTAAAGCATCGGCTTTGATGAAGATAATTTTGTATTTTTAATTCTCTGAAGGGCGCCACCTTAATAATATGGAATTTGTAAAATAAATGTATATATTTTTGATTGTTGATGAAGCCCATCATTTTGTGTTTTCATCAGTGTTCAGAAGCAGAACAACTATAAGTTTTTTATTTTATCACAAAAAAATAAAATGTATAAAAAACAAAGAAAAGAGTAAGAAAATGAGTATAGTCATAGAAAAAGTTAAAATTATAATATAGTATTTGTCAGTTAAAATAAAACTTTTTGTTTAAGTCATTGCTAACAATTCAAATTTCTCCGAGGCAATTCTAAAGTATAAATTAAGGTAGTATTGTTAAGTTGAAACACAATATTTTTAGTTTTGATGTCAACAATACAATTCAATTTTTCACAAAAACGATTGTTTCCATTGTTAAGTTCAATGTCAACAATTCAAATTTTTCTGAGGCAACTCTTAACCTCTAAATATTATTTTTTTTATGTACACATTTCTAAATGTCAGTATTCAACCACAAAACAACTTAAAGTCCTCAAATTTAGCATGAAGTTGTAAAATGTAATGAAAGAGGGTCATAGCAATAATGAAAGTAGAAGTAAAGTTAGTACTGTAAAATTAAAACAATATTTTTAATCAATGAGCCAAGTTCTTCAAGAAGCAGTTGTAGAAGTAGGTTGTTTATTTAAAACTTTTTATAGAATTTCTTTAAGAACACAATTGTTAATTTGGGCATTTGGCGATACAACACTTTTAGAATTGAAGGATTTGTTACGTCAAGCGCTCAGGTATCATAATTTTGATCTAGTTGCGCTTCTATGTCATTTTGATTTATGTTGCTAAGTTAACTTTCAAAAAATTCTATGGCTGGCAACAGCATTTTTATTTTTTAAGTTGTTTATTTTTATTTCTTTTAGAATTCGTTATTTTTTTAGCGAAATGTTTTTTAACCTAACAGAATTCTTTGCCGACTGTTTTCTCTATGAATGAAGAAAATAAAGTAAATATTTAACTGTTGTGAAAAGAATCTTATTTAGTTGTACAAAGTACTTCAGCCAAAATTTGGGAGCCACGTAAGAGAATTATATATATTGGATCAGAAACACATCATTAAAAGGCAGAATGCTTTGGTGTTTTCAAAACAAAGCAAACGTTGCCACCGGCAGAAAAGAAATACGGTCAAAATTTGGGAGCCACGTAAGAGAATTATATATAATAGATGGTCTAGTTTTCTAACATGAAGACCCATATTTCCTTGGAATTTCATCAGTATACGATAAATAAAAATTATAAAAGTATTGCTTCTCTGAATTTAAATTTAAAACTTGTCATTTAATTTTAGAATTTACATTAGTAAAATTATGCATTGTTTGATATGTTTTTTTTTTTAATTATTCAGGATCTTATCACCCCAGAGAAGAAACAACTGGTGCTAAAATACATACGACCTTGAGTACCATAACCATTTATGTTATCATGGATGATAATGGAGCTACATATTCATGCGAAGCGATACATCGAGCTTTAACCTATTCTTTAAAATCCAAGATAACTATAAATGTATTGTGTAAGTATTTTGTTATTATCTATACCTATGCATTGTCTGATTTAATATATTTAAAAAAAGCTACATTTTTAATAATTTTGGAGTAGAATATAACTACATACGTGCACATTCCTAAATTCTAGTGTACTGTATTGTATAGTGCCACTTATATTATCGCCAAATTGCTCGCCAGGAAGGGCAATGTTGTTCCATTTCTGACATCTCTAATATTTTACTGTCAATTTTATTATTTTTTTAGTTTTACGTTACATTTTTGTGGACATGTTTTTAATTTTTCTTTTTTGCTTTACGTTTTCAATGTCATTTTATTTATCAGAGAGTTGCATGTAAGTGCGATTACCTCTAAAAAAATAAAATAAATAAAAATTAAAAAACACAGGTTTTGCCAAAAAAGCGTTTCGAAGTTTTTTTCCCTTCAATTCCTATGTCATATTCGTATTTTTGTTGTTATATTTAACATTTTAAGTTCCTAAAACTGATTGGTATAATTACTTCCAAAGCTAAAAACAACAATATTTGTAATTTTTGTTTTTACTTTTGTTCTTCTTTTGCATATTAAATGGTATGACATGGTGAAGCACAAAATTTGCAATATATTCAAGTTTTACCAAGTTTTTTTTCCTCTCATTTCCTATATCAAGCTCATATTTTTGGCTGCATTTAGCATTTTAAGTCAGCTAGTTGGATAAAATAATGGGTTCATGCAAGTACTTTGAAACCTGAAAATTAAAAAAACTTTATTTATTTTTTTATTTTGAATTTCTAATTTAAAATTTAGCACATTTTTGCGTATTAAATGGTAAAACAAATTTTGAAATATTTGGTTAAAAAATAAAATGTATATCAACGTGTAATCTGCTTCAACATCGGCTATTTAGTTATGAATCTTTTCACAGTTCAGCAATTTATATCCAAACAAATAAGAAGGAAAAAAAATCAATAAGAACTAAAGAAACTCTGAATTTCTTTGCAATTTGGCGTAATTTCAGCTATTTGTCATCAAATAATCTTTTCATATCCCTCATAGAATATAGGAAATTGCATTATGCAAAGAAGCTGACTGATTTATGAATAAATTATGCATTTCTCTACATTTTAATACAAATTTCTTTCCTTCCACCCACCCCTTTTAGCTCTTTTCAGTTCACTTCTAATAACCATCAATCCTTCTTAAAAAACGCTCAGTCACGATTAGTATCCTCAAACGATTCAACAAAGAACATTTCGGCAGCTGTTCTTCTTCTTCTCTTTTGCTATTTTTAGTTATGTTTTTTTTTTATTATTTCGCTCTTTTTTTCTTTCTGAAATGTAGTAGTGGAGAACGAGGCATTTCCAAATGTCTTTTCGAATCAATTTTGAATCGGAAATTTTCCTTTCTTTAACGGAAGAGGAAACAATTTCTTGAAAATCGAACTAACGGTATCATTATCTACCTCTTTTTGGCGTCCTTGCAATAATGCTTCTGTATGTGCTTCAAAATCACCCGTTTCGAAGTATGAAATTCCCTAATAGGAACTAGTGATAGAGCATATTACTTTTTTTTAAAAATTATATTGCCCATCAGAATTGCAATTTACTTAACCAGGACTTAAAAAACATATTTTTCCATTCCACACATCAATTATGAGTACAAATTATCAATTTGCTTTAAATATCAATTTAGTACAAGTTGCACTAAAAAGCTGCGATGGCTCAGGTGATAGAGCTTTTGCCTTTCAATGAGGTAAACCGGGTTCGAATCCATGCGATGGCCGGTCGATACGAATCCGCCTCCGGCTTGCACCGACCACAATGCTGACGTGAAATATCCTCAGTGGTCGACAGATCATGGTTTAGAGTCTACTTGCAGTCATTTTTATTTTTTTTATATAAATGTACGCATTATTGTCATCTTTATTGTCATCTGTATCATCTTTTGTGCAGTTATGAATTTTGTAATGGTTTACTTTTGTGCCGAGTTTTGTGCGAGCTAGACTATCGTCCAGACGTGGACTATACGGTTAAGGGTTTTGCAAACCTAGGTACGTGTCCACGTCTAGAAGAAAAGAAAAAAAAAGTCCACTTGCCGTCAGGATAACAGTTGGAGGTTCTCGCAGTCTTCCTCTTATGTAACGCAAATGCGAGTTGGTTCCATCAAAAAGTCCTCCACAAAGGCAAATGTCTTTCAATACTTGATCTAAGATTTTCCTTCTCTTCTAGATTGAGTTTAAAGCAACGGAGTTGAACATAAGTAGTCGTGAGCCCAAAAATTGGGTCAGTTGTTCAATGACGGTTATATAATAAAATAAGAAGCTGCCCTAAACATTCTTCAGTTTTAAAGTTTGCACACTATCAGGTTTGCACTCAGTTTACTTCCACACATAAATTCGCATTAAATGTTCTTTAGCACAGATCTCCTTCTTTTCATATATTCACATGGGCTAATTTACCCCCGATATATCCTTTCTTGTTTACGACTTTTTGAGAATCTATGAGCTCTTGGACATAAGCCTGATCTCGAGGAATACGCCCTAAAGGCAAAATTTCTTTTGATTTCATTGGCTCAAACTACAATTCCATCGCATAATGCTGTTTCTGCTGAAATTTCGCCGATGTAAAGATCTAATAATCACGTCCAAAAATGTTTTTTTTTTTCTTTTTTAAGAGAGGAGATAAATGGAAAAACCTTCAAACTTAAAAGATTGCTGAAAGTCGAAGTTTGTATAACATTTTGAATGTAAGCAACATAATGATATATTTACCAATACAGGACCTCACTTATGCTAATTATTTAGTGCAGAGGATATTTTTGAACAAGAAATTCAAATAAACTTTTTCTGAACAAACATATCTCTTTTCGACACAATTGAATTCTTGTCTTTCATATGAGCTAATCTCTATCTGGGAAAAATGATCCCAATCTAAATGGTTTTTCCAGGAAAGATGTTTGAAAGTTTTTAACCCTTAATGTTAATTTTACTTTTTGAGTATTTCGCCAAATCTATAGAACTTTTTAAATGAATTGAGCAATTATTTGCGCACAACTATAAAATTAAGCAAAGATAATTCCATGCAAAAATATTTAACAATGATTGATTATTTTTTACTTTTTTTTTGTATATTAATAGTCTAAATAACTTGAATTGGAAGGTATATAATTTTTAGCATCATTTTATAGAATATATCTTCATATCTTAATATTCGAATGAACTCGGTTGAATCGTTCCTCAGAAGGTGAATTTCACATACATAATATATTAGATAAATACATAAATAAAAGAAGGAAAGAAATTAAAAATTAAAAAAAAGAAAAAAAATTAAAAATCAACAAAAGTAATTATTAAAATAAGAACGAAAATATAAAATCTTATCATCAGCTCACACGATTATATCCGTAAAAATAGTGCTTGCCAATAATGTAATAATACATCAATACAGTAGTGTGAAGAGCACCAAAGAAGGGATTCGAAAATAAATTACAAGGAATTATAATATTATAAGGAGAAGTAAATAAATCTTTTATATATATATATATATATATATGTGTTTTTNAAAGAAAAATTAAACATTTATATAACTAATCTACTAAAATTTTCAAAAATTTTTCACACAAAAATATACAACTTTTTATGGAAACGAACTGCTATTGTTAAGCATATATATATACTTAACAATCAAGTTATAGTCATTTGAGTTTACAATTATTCAAATTATCATCAAGTCTTATTACAGTATGAAAACAAATAAATAACTAATCAATATAGTATATTCTCTAACAAATATTATAATTGCGTTTAAAAAAAGCTGTTGCTCACTTAGCAAATATAACTAATGATACGTTTCGCCTAGTGCAGTATTGATCGAAACAGTGTTATCCGAATTTATCGTGCCTTGGTAACAATTATGTTTTGCTCGAACTTTCGTTTGCTTAAAATGAAAACATCAGATTTTTCAGATGCAAATTTCATAGATTGATTGAAGACACTGAAAATACATCCCACAATATGAACGTTTTGTATGAAATTTCCTGATTGCTCTAGCTTAGATATTTTTGTAAATAAACATATGTTTGTCGCATATATTGCATTGCGTTTACTAGGGAAACTTTTATTTTTGAAGATAAATAAAAAGAAATAAGTTTGCGGTTTTTCATTCACTCAGTGGAAGTTTTCTAAAAATATATATCCTACACTGATTAAAAAGGTTTTCAAATTTTTCAGAGCTCTACCGTCTATGGAAAAACCATAAACTTATCCTTTAATTGTTAAAACTAACTTGACAAAATTTTGCAATTGCGTCATGATAGAACATGATATTAAAACCATTTAATCGTTAAAATTTACTTTATAGTTTTGTATTTTTTACTTTGTGATAATAAAAACTATAATTTTGAAAACAGAATTTCCGAATAACCATTTCGAAATGATAGAAAAATTGTTAAAATAATGGTTTGTATACCATTCATTTTGATTTTATTAATCTGAATTATGAGGGGTTTTTTTAATACGAAAAATGCAATTGCCATGCAGTATGGTAATTTTGCTAGAATTTTTCTCTCTGTTTATGTGTAAATGAACATTGAAGTTTAGATTTAACATATGCTACAATAGACGCAAAATGTTATAAATAACCAATATCATAAAATATTCGTTTACTCTTTCCTAGCTTTTTTAGACCGTTATTATAGCTCGTTGTTATCCCTATATACATAATTTAAGAACAATTAAATAAACATATGAAACACTCTAAATTACTTTTGAAACAAAAAATATTAAAAACGTATTGCATATATTAAAATTTTCTGACCCCAAGATTTGAACATTGATGTAATTACTATATCTGATCTCAAACAAATAGTTTTTAACGCTAGAAAGACGTAACATTGCTGTCTACCTGGAAAATCTGAAGGGGTCAATCTTGCTGCTTCCAGATTATTATTTCTTTTGGTGAAGATCAATTAGACATCCAAGCTCTTAACATATTAATCTAATATGAAACATATTAAAGACTTTGACATCAAAATTCTATTGTATTTTATTCGATTTAATTAATGATCGTTCTCTGGTTCTGGTCAGAAGTATGATCTGTGGATAAATGAATGGATGTATGAATGGGTCCGCCCTTTAATACGGGCTGTGATGTGTATGTAGCAGAAGTCATATTCTTGGTAATAGATGGTGCCACTGAAAAACAAGAAACACACCCTCTGCCTTAAATTCGCTTAGGTTCTACAAGCAGGCTTGCTGATATTGGCAAGTGGCATATTAGAAACAACACAACAACAACACATCAGACGAAAGCTGCAATGCATATTAAGCATTTTTTTAACAAATAAAAGGTAGTGGGAGCCGTTCTTGGCGGTTTACAACCATTGCAGGCTCTTATATCGATGAATATTGCTCTTAGACAACCACACATGTCACTGATAACTAGTATTTCTTAAATCCCAATATTTAGACAGCAAAAATAAAACTATATCTCTTATAACTATTTTAAGATACTTATGCTTGCTTCTAAAACAGCTATATTTCTAATTTACTTTTTAAAAAAGGGTTAGGTATAATGATTTTTCGTCAGGAAAAGAACTTCAAAAATATTCACGAAACTTTCTACTTTTTAACCAATACTAGTTTTTTTCCATAAAAAAAATATAAAGAAAATCTAGTTGTAAATATCAGCACTTGTACACTGTTAGACTGTTTCTTCTGAAATTACGATGAAATTACTGGCAGGAGTCTTTCTATCCAATTAACCATTAAGTTTATGATTTTAAATTTTTTTTTCTACCTTTACGGTTTTGAAACTGTTTACAACGGATACGGTTAAAAAACTGTGAATACAAAACTATACCGTTTTGTAACCCTTTACAACTATCACAGTTTCTAAACCATAAAAACAATACCTAAATGGACATTGAAGCTCAGTGAGTGCTGCGCCTCAGTGGGTGAATACTAGTCTTGTATTCTAATAGTCCAGGGTCACGGATTGTAGATTGCGGGCCACTGGAGACACATCATATATTGAAGTAATAAAAGAAGTAATGCGTCAATGCTGGGATTCGAACCCCTCTTCAGTCGGCCATATGATACACCGATTGGCCTTCTCAGCTATAATATGTACTAAACTTCATAAAACAAAATAGCTTCCTAAGATGGGCATAGTTGGCTTGAATAGAATTCTGATTGTTAAACCATATTAGGTAAAATAATCAACATTTAACAGTTTTATCTTCTTTTTTTGTGGTTATTTAACTGTTTTGGTTAAATATGGTAAAATAACAATTAAATAAAATGGTACTCAATCGTTTTTAAAAGGGAGTATATAATAATGCAAACTAAAGAGAATATTTTTTACCTAACATCATAAATCATTTGAATTAAATTACTTTTTTTTCCGTCAAATCTCCAAAAAGAAGATATTCCAATCTATTGAAAACGCTAAAAAAAGGAAATAAATGCAATGGAATAAGACCTTTACCCGTTTCTTCCCAAATAAACCTAAATTTATCCAAGCTTGTGTAATGTTGGGCTAGATATGTGTAATTTGATTTGAAGTAGAATTATCCATTTATAGGTGTATACATTTGCATAGAATCAGCATATTTAACTATCAATTTCAGATATTTAAATAAGGGTTTAGATACTGCCTATGTTACGCAGACGCATTAATGTGACTCGACATTTTAAGTTAATGGGTTTTAACATCGGGGTTCAAAGAGTATCCATCTATTTACAGTTTCTAGTACAGCACAGGGGATAATTTAAAATCGAATTAAGTTTCTTACAATTTTTTAATATGATTCATTCGTATTAAATTCTTTGAAAGAACACTTTTACGCGATATGTTGAGATTTAAAAAATATTTCTTTTGTGTTTCAATACACATGAGATTCGTAATTAATTTCACTTATATTTTATAATTTAGCAATAGCTAAAAAAGTATTTCGCACAATTACTAATTTTAACACTTCCTTATTCAATTTATTCCCAAATTGATTTTTGTCCAAAACTTTGTTAATATTAAATATTTAGTAACTTCAAATCCACTATAAATTGCGGAACATCCTCTCTTATAAAATTTTGATGACACAGAGGTTTTAAACTAAAAGTTTGTTTGAGTAAACTTTTGTATAAAAACAATTATCGCGAAAAGAAAAAAAATGAGGATTAATAACTTAATTTCGAAGTGACACTACAGCCAGCAATAGTAAAATTTTCAATACCAAGACAGTGTAAATTACCATATTACTGCAACCAAAGAATATATACACGGGGAAGAAATCTAGCTTCCTTAGGCATAATGTAAGCCAATACTCAAAGGTTAAGTTCGGTCTCGGTGTACAAAGGAGAAAACAACATTTAGGTGCACAACAGCAGAGGTTCTTGTAACGGGTTTGCACCCTTTTCTCCTCCCAACCACCACTGGGGTTGGGGATGAAGAAGAAAAATCTTCTCTTTTGTTTTTATGATTTCTTCCGCATTTTCACACTATTGATAAGCAGAACTGTTCTATAATTAAGATATTTCTTTAAATATACATTTATAATATTCATGTTGATTAAATCTACTGACACATTTGTTGTTGTTGTGGCTTATCCTCCAAATGCCTGACAAGGTCCATCAGACCGTTGCTCTTAAGGAAATCGAGGACCAGAAGGGAGGATGAGTATAATTTGTCTAAAATAAGTACTCCTCCAGACATTCGTCTGGACCTGTGGAGGGTGACAATGGTAACGAGGTATGACTATTTCAAGTAGGAGTGCGGGGTTACTGTTTTGGAGTGGTTTCAAGTCGGGTCGGCGAGAAAAAGAGAATCTCTTCGGTCTATTGTTTTAGTCCCAGAGTGAAGCTACCTTCCCTAAAATGCTCCATTCTTGTTTCCATAGCACCAGATGGCCTCAGACTTTGTGGCGGGAGGAGTTCTTAGCTTAGACAAACTATATATGTCCACTCTGGAAAGTCTCAAACAGTCCAGGATGTAAACTAACACATTTTGACGTAGAAAGAAAGAATAAAATGTCAGTCAGCAGGATTCGGGGTAAGCAACCATACATGTAGAGTTGTCTAACAACCGGCTCATAGATGACGTATCTCCTGACTGTCACTTTACTTCGTATGCGCATGCGCTGATCTCATGATGCTACATATGATGCTCTGCTTAATCTAAATACGTTGCTTAACCTGAAGTTGCTTTTCTATCATAGCGAACCACAAAGAACGATTCCCGCGTTAGTTACGTATTCATAGAGCTGGACTTCATCTCCTATCTACATTCTTTTCTTCAACCACCCTCAAATTTCAGGCATAGTCTAAGGAAAAAAAATTGCATTTGAATTCCACTATATGCGTCATATTTATCTTTATTGGCGATTTTTGGAACTAAACATTTTTTCGCCGAATCTTTATCATAACGCTCTTAAGTCTTTTTGACCAAATCGTTATTATTTCAATAATAAGGTTGTACAACATATGTCTCTTAGTAAGCTCAGTTTAAATATAATAACCCATGTACATTTTTTTTTTGGTTTATGTGGTAAATTAAAATATTTTTTTATGCCTTGCATAAGTTATTTGCTTCTGGTTTTTAATTTATTTATGATGTGCGCCAAATTTTCGTCATGTGCAGGTTTGATAAATCTTTACTGATTTAATTTTCTTTTTCAGATCCACCAGGAATACCAGAAATTGAAGGGTATCAGGAAGCTGATATTGTCCAAGTTGGTGATACGTTAACTTTGGCCTGTATAACAAGAGGTGGTAATCCACAAGCCGAATTAATATGGTACAGAGACAACGTACAAGTTGATATGTCTTATAGTACCAGTGGTAGAGAAGTTACAAATATCCACACATTCACTGTGGATGAAACTGACAACAACGCCATTTACCGTTGTGAAGCCTCAAATTCCGTGACTTACCATCCGAAAATTGCCAATGTAAAACTAAGCGTACAATGTAAGTTTAAATCTTTCTTTAATTCTATTATTAAAAGCACTTGAATTTTTCAATGGTATGTTATTAAATTGATTTTGGGGTGAGGGAGGGTAGATTAATTTGCTATTCAACATTTTGAACGCTCATGACTTTTGCCCATGTAGCATAATACGCAAATTAAACGTAATTTTTTGGGAAATTGGTAAAGTAAATATGTTTTATACGAAAATTTTCTTTTCTAATTTTTCATGACTACTTTTTGCTATAATTTGCTATTTCAACTTACATAAATTTTGACGTATATAATATGCAAAATAAATAACGTAATCATTCTTACCTTGTAAAAAGTGATAAGTAAAATATTCGCGAAATAAGCGAATTATGTATGTAAATTTTTACGTATTTTTTATAACTATTTTTCGCTATAATTTTATGTTTCATCTAGCGTAAATTCTTTTTGACGTGCTGTTGACGTAAATAATACATAAAAAACATGTACTCATCCATACCTAAGAGAACGATGTCAGTAAAATATTTGCAAAATAATCAAAATTTCTTTACGTTAATTTTTGCATAAATTTTCCGTTTTTTGTGTAACTATATTTTTCTGTAACTTGACGTTTCAGTTTTACATAAATTTTTCGATTACTAAGTAAAATTTAATGGCGAAATATAGGTATTTTAACGTATTATTGATGGTGTTAAAATACATGGGTGGTAATGTATATGGTTAGAGCATCAAATACAACTCTGGTTTAAAGGTAAGGCTCGTGTGTTTGACGTTGACAAAACTCGTGAAAGGTGCCATAGACAAGATCATTTGGGTGATAGAGATACCTAATCAGGTGCGTACCACATCATCAAACATGTAGTTTTAATTAAAGAGGTATATGCTTTTGTGTCGCAGGTCTTTTGAATTCGGGTTTCAGTGTTTTCAAGTCCATAATTTTATAACTTTTGAGTCAACTTTTTGAATCGTGCTTCAACTCCTAGATGCAAGTGCTTACTCTATAAATAAGGAAGCAAAATCATCTTCTTTTTCATTGCAGAAAACTATAAACCCGATATTCAAATCGTAACCGAAGCGCTGAATGGTATGGGAACTAATTGGTGAGATTTATACTATATGTAGTGACTCGTATATGGATGTATAGTTCACGACAGATATCACAAATTTTATGTGATATATCATTCGCAAGGTACTGATAAACCCTCATGTTCCATGGATTTTCTCTCGGAGGGAATTAGGTACACTTAAAGCTTGGTTATAAACTATAGTCACTTACTTATGGTTTCTTAGTTCACTTATAATATAAAAAGAATATGACTATAATGTATTGCTAAATAAATAATCCCAAGAAGCTGAGTAAGCTAAGAAGCCAAGCTAAGAAGCCAAGAAGCTGTAAGATATTATCTGATTAAAAACTTCATTCGCTTCAAGAATATATACAAATAGGAAAAAACATTCGACATGTTTCACGCTCTTCAAAATTAGGCTCCCACTAACAATATTAGTTCCTCACCATTTCTCCATAGCGCTTGGAAATGCATTTTAACCCGCTTCGTCCCTCTCGGCTCCTGTGGTTTTTCATCTTTTTTTACTCTCTGCTACTGAGGTTTTTCTAGTTTTGTTCCTTACTTTCGTTTTTCCATTTTTTCTTTTGCAATTTTCTGTTTTTATTTCAAATCATATCTTCGTTTCTTCATATTTACGTCTAGCAAGTCTTGAAATGGGAGCCTATTTTTTTAGCACTTGAAACATATCAACTGTTATTGCCTACTTGTTTATTTTTGAAGTGAAGGAATTTTTTAATAAAGAAATGTAATGTATTGTGTTAAAATGAAAATATAATATTACCTCTGAAATGGGAGAACCGATTTGCTTCGATGTTTGTATCTAATCACTTTGCAACACGAAACCATCCTCTTCTGTTACTTAGGTCACGTGGAATGCAAAAAGGGCTTAATATTTAATATCTATATCACTACATTTATGCTTCAAATCCATGAACTTCTTTAAGCAAAAATCCAGAATGTAAAGTTAAAAATCTTATTGCAAAAAATTCTAGTCTGCCGAACGAAGTTATATAATTATGCTGCAAATTAAGAAAAAAAGAAGTAAGTGAGAAAGCATTTTTGTTTTTCTTATCTAGATGTGTTTGCAATTCCAATTTAAACGACATTTTCAAACTGCTAGTTTATTAAATCTAAATAAAAGAAACAGTAAAAACGTTTGTATCTTTCAGAAATGAACTACTATTTTATTTAAAGTAATTAATCCCAAGAAACTGAAAAAGAAAGATGTACTTGATAATATAAAAAATTCATTTTGTCTTAAAAATCATAAAGGGAATATAAATTTTCTACTTTTATAATCTTTGAAACAAATGAAGTTTGTACATTATCAAGTACATTACGTTATTTTTTGTTATTATATTAAGAAAAACATGCATGATTTCAAAAAATGTTCGCAATAAACTTTCTGAATAAATAAATGATAGTATAGAAATAAATTAGAAAGAAGCTATTATTGTGGAGAAGCAAAACTAAAAGCAGCAGTTAATTGCATAATATCTATTTTTGCTTTAAATGTAATGAAAAATAGGCTTTACTAAATTCCATTGGATTTTTATCTCTTAATTTAAAAAAAGTGCTTCTTAAAATAATAATTGCTTATCAGCACGACTAATATAAATTAATAAATATAGTACCTAATTAGTAAATATAGAATCCGTCTTAATCGTCTTTCTTACAATAGCTGTTTTTTAAATGCCTAAAATATTTACTGACCATGCATAATTTGATTTCCAGTAAATTAAGTAACTTAACTAGGTTTAAAAAAATTTAACACATCCCTCAATTAACTATTAAACATTTAATTTCTACAAAGAAACTCTGAAGTGCAATTTTATATAATTTAAATGAAAAAAAAAAACATCTTAAATAAGCAAGTAATTTTTACGTAATTGAGTCTACATAAATACCCATAAATTTGTAATAAAGCGACTTCTAGGGAATAATAAATATTTAATGTTTGTGCATTTAATGCTTACTTATAAACATTAGATCGAAACACAATTTATCTCAACATTACTTACGTATGAGTTGAAAGGAAAAGTCTAAAAATAAAATCTTTTAATTTTGCCGAAAGTACCCAGATCGCTTGTCGGTGCAGTAAAAGCAACATTATTGCGTTCCGCAAACTCAACATTCGAATGCCTGAGGGAGCTTTTGCAGGCTCTTTTCCAATTCTTGAAACATCATCAACACTTTGCCATACCTACTATTAGAACGTTCAACGAATCGCAAAATAGACATGTGGGTAAAATTTAAAACGTTCCCCTTGCGGAAGAGGACAAAGTTGGTTTGATGATTGGATTCTTTTTCATGTTTGTTCCTTTTCTCAGAAGTTTAATGTCGGCCTCGCCAAGGAGTATTTCGAGATTTGTTATTTTGAATTTTAAGAAAACGGTTGGAGCGAAATAGATAGACTTTAGTTACATATGCATGTCTGTAATAATGTATATGGTTTGACTTAGAGGACAATAACTAAATTTGTTTTAATAAATTTCTTCAAATGATCGCCGTACTACTATTTATGAAGTATTTTAGATATATTGGCGTAAATGCAAGCCATAGAAGCTTGTTTTTTACTTCTTTTTTAATTAATTGCTGGAATCATATGCGTCTTATGAAATTATTAGGATATATTGAAATAAATTTTATTTCAATGTTTGGAAATTTTGTTGGTAATTGAAAGTAACTGCCAGCTGACTAGTATATAGTACCGCAAAGTGTTGAGTTTATTTATAAGTTCCAGCTACTTATCTCAAGCAGTCTCAAGAGCAATTTCTAAACATGCAAACTTCCTTTTCAATGTTTTGCGCATAATCCATACTAACCGCAAACAATCTTGGGATATTATCAGCAACTTTATGTCCAAAATATAGATCCCTCTTGCAATGAAAAGTACTTCTGTGAAACGGAAGTTAAAAGTGTATGTGAAACGTAGTAGAAGGAAATGAAATGCAAAAAAAAANAAAAAAAAAAAAAAAAAAAAAAAAAAAAAAAAAAAAAAGAAACTCTGATCGTGCGTATTTCTGTCACGTGCACCACTGAAAAAAGAATCACATTTTTAGAGATACAAAAGAGCGGAAAATTATCTTTGTACCTCTAAATGGTCAAAATCATTTTATATATTAGGGGGATCGGAAAATAATATCGTTTCTGGGCAATAAATATTCGTTAGTCTACTATAGTGATTCTGCCGTGTTAAGAAAGTAGGGTCAATAAATATAGATTTCAGTTAACAAAGCTGTTTTTAATTTTTTTTAAGTATGTTGTAGTATTGAATAATAAATATTAAGAAAGTAATATAATTGTAAATAGAAAAATTTTGATTATTCTAATCTTACTTTGGACGGTGGTATTAATAGAATTAGTATTTAAGTTGCAGTTTGTCATTATTATTTAAAAGCCTATTCTCACACTATAATTACAAGATAAGAAAAATACACCTGTTTTTTTTTCTAATTAGCTCACAAGTTAATTATTGCAATTATTACGTTAATTTTGTTAATAGCTATACGTTAATTATTACAAGTTAATAATTAAGATATATATTAACACGTCAGGCTTCCAAAACTGCATATTCGCATCAGTACACTTGCCAACCTCAAAGCTTCAATACTTTCTTTTGTTACCTAATTTAATTCAAAGTATCCTCATCTTTTGAAGAAAGCTACTTTGTAATCAGAAGGTGCGTAACGATTCATTAAAACATACATATTGAAGATTCTGCTTCTTGTTCGTAAAGTAGAATTCCATTAACGAATGCGAAACGTAATACTTTTCCAAGGAAAGACTTTTCATCCGTATGCAACCTGTTTTACGATTCAACCGAATGTTAATCAAATCTTTTAACTCAAAACCAAGTATTCCACCGAAGATATATTTATATGTATTCCCGGCCACAAAAGAGAGGTTTTCTCCTCCAAAAGCTTGGATTGTTTGCCATGCAC